GGGGGAATCGGCACGAGTTTGACCAGTGTTCAAATTTTTATGCATTTTCCTGCCTAGTAACTAGCTTTTAAAAATAAATCTATTATTCACAGGTTTTGGGTGCACACCCTAACGCGATAGGCTGTGCACCCCTAAGCTGCAATACCGTGTGCTTTACATTTAACATTTAAGAAAAACAAGTAGTGCACTTTCAGTAGGTAGCACGTGTTGCGATTGATCACATTGCAGTCGAGGAGGTGCATTTGGGGTGCCATTCCAATGAATGGCAACGCACCTCCCAGCACTGTTAACACATAGGTGCACTGCATGGTACCATGCAATTAACACGCATACCCAGTGTGGATGGGCCCTAATGGCTTGTACACCAAATCCAGACGTGCAATTTTTTTAATTGCATCAAATAAAAACAGGGTTCAGTTCCAGAGCTCAAAAATAACAAAATAAAAACACATTTAGAACCCAAGCAAAATCAATGTTAGAAAAAAAACACAGCAAAAACGCATAAGCAGACATGCATCCAGATCTGGTCTGGGGATGGATGTAAACAAACCCTGAATGAAATGTAATGTGTAATATTCCAATAAAGTTTAAAAAAAAGCCCGGACATGCAAACAATGCAATGTGGCAGCATCAGTATAGTTTCTCTCACCACACACCAGCCCTGCACTTAGGGAATGGACCCTCAAAATGAATGGGCTTCTTAACACAATGCACACTTGTAATGCATGTATTGCAGCGCACGGGCCTGATCAGGCAAAGGGTAGGCTGGGGCAGCAGCTACACTTACCGGTGCACCGACAGGTGGCGTTGAAGAACTTCAGTGGCCATCGCTCCCGGTCATCCACATTGCGTAATGTGTACGGACCACTCCACGGCCGCTCATCAACCACCACTGGTACACACTGGCCCCGGGCTTGCAGGGAGCCACATACGTTTTCTAGCTCGGAGCCCAGAGGCGGGCAGCACCTCTTGCTCACTAGAGCGTCCACAGTAGTACAAGCCCGGGGGAACTGAGCTCCAACCAGCTGAGCGCACACTGCAGCCAGGAGCAGAGCCCAAGAGGTGCTGACATGTGCCATGTTACCGTACAAAGTCACGGCCATACTGCCAGCTCAGCTGGAAGAGCACTTGTTGCACCTCTGATAAACGATTACCAGCACATGTAATTGTTCAATTAGTGCAGCACGCCTCCAAGCCTGACATATAAGAGCTCATATGACACAGGAGCTTTAATCCTTCACGTGATGTAGTCAGGACTGGAAAGGATTCCCAGCCTCAGCTGAGTGTGCTTTTATAGCAGGATTAATAGTGGAGACTTCCTCGTGTATAGCACATGACAGATCTATAGAAAAGAATGCTGACATTGTGTGCCCCCCTCTCTGATACCGGCTCATGTGCTCTGGATTCCTTTCCAGCTACCTGCTGTGTCTGGGGGTGATCAATGAGCCATATAAAAAAGGAATCAATTACACATTACGAGAGATCAAAAAGTATTGTGGAAGATCATACAGGTAGCAGCGCACATTCACATCAGTCCCTGCTGTCAAGGAGCTTACAATCTAAGGTCGATATCTCATATGCATTCACATACTATCACAAGTTCCTGATGCAGGAATCCCTAAACACAACAAAATTATAGGTAAGAATGTTGCCCTAAGCTGGCCATACACCCAGTGGCAGAACTATCGACAAAGCGACCCAGGCGGCCGCTATGGGGCACAGGAGGGCCCGGCCAGGACGAGGAACTAAGGGGTCCCCCTGATGCCATGAGGGTCGCTGTGGCATCGCAGGCTTCTGGCGGCTGTGAGGAGGAACGCGCCCTTGTCCAGATCACTAACAACCTGTCAGTGATCTGTGCAGTGGCGCGTTCCTCCTCACAGCCGCTGCTGAGGCACTGACAGACAGCAGCTGCGGTGGAGGAGGCCAGGGCCCGGCGGTGGCAGTGGAGGAGAAGGCGGGGCCCGGCGGTGGAGGAAGAGGCCAGGCCCGGAGGAGGAGGCGGCCCGTCGACGATCGAGGAGGAGGTGGGGCCCGGTGGTGGAGAAGGGTGACAGCGGATCGGGGCTGACAGGTAAGAGGGGTGTGACCAGCCCACCTGCGACCCTGCAGAGCCCACCATAGAGAGTCTAAGGTGGGCTCTGCAGGGTCACTCTCAGGTGGGCTGTGTGGGATCTCACGTGGGCTCTGCAAGGGGCTTAACTAAAAATCGCAGGGCCCCATACAAAATGTTGCTATGGGGCACTGTGATTTCTAGTTACACCCCTGCATACACCTATAGATTATCTGCAGATTTTCTATGGTCAGATGGAAAAAGTGGAACATCTACGCTAAACTGTGTAGATGGGGGAATCTTCCACTGGGCCAAGCTTCAGTATCTTGCTAGTCGTCACCACTGGCTCTCAAAATACCTGAACAATGCCTGCATCCAATCAGATCGTTCAGGTATTTTGACAGCTGAAGCTTGGCACACTGGGAGATTCCTCCATCCATTAAGTGTGAGTTAAAGAAGAACTCTGGGCAAACTTTCTTAACATTTGCAGTGGGGGCTGCCCTTGCACTGCAAGGGTTAAATGCTTGTTTGTGTCTAGAATAAAAAAGTTATACTCACGTGAACCTCGCCTCTGGCTAGCTGTTACAGCGCTCCCTCCAGCCTGCCTGCTCCTCCGCTACAGTGATAGTATGTCCCTCGGCATCCTCACATCCACATTGTGCATAGAACGTGATCATTTACGGACCTTAGGCAACTGCAGTGGAGGGGGAGATAAGAGCAAGCCGGCTCTGAGGATCAGGATTTTTTTGCACCTAGACCCAAACAAGCACTTAACCCCTTGCAGTGTGGGGTTAGCTCCACTGCAAGGGTTAAGAAAACATTTGCCTGGAAAATGAGAAAATGTTGCTCGGGAGAAGAGTTGTTTTTTTTGGTAGAAGAGACTTTGTATGTGCAGAAAAAAACCAAACTCATTTCTCATTTTACCTAGCATTTTGTTTTCCTGCAGTGCAGTGTGCAATCTCAGCATCTATCTGTACGATGCCGGGATAAAATAACTCTGGAGCACATGCCCAGCAGTTACATCAATATTGGGTACCCAATGGGTGAAAGAGCAGACACCACTCTGGAAGAAGGAGATGACGGTGAGAGTATACTTTCCATCAGAGAGAAGGGCAAACTCACATACTTTGACTTTATAACAAGAGCCCCCCAGCACAGTTCTGCTTTAACAAGAATATGCAACCATTAAAGAATATCATAGCCAATTTTAATTTTGGATAGAGTGGAAAATGGGTAACATCCTCCATGACACTTATTTTGCTGTGTATGTCCCATTGAGAAGATTTACACTCACTTTCACTTCTTGGAGACAGTGAGATAAAGTGGGGAGAAGCCCACGTAGACTGTTGTCACCAGACAGGTTCTCCTCGCTGGCAGATTTCCCTTTTGCCTCCTATTTTGTTGACAACTATAACATTATGAATATCCCTTCACGTTCTGTCCTGGTGACAACAAATAGGGTATATATCCCCAGCAAGGACATAGAAATATAAAAACTGACGGCAGTTGTAACCCTTCCCCCACCCTATCCAAAACATTGAAAAAAGGTTTGGCTTTAGATATACTTTAGAATAAATGTATAGAGACAGCTTGTTTCAATCACAATCTTTGTGCAAGTGAGCCTACTTTTGCAAACCTCTGGGTTCACACAGATCGCCTGGCTGAATATAATAGCTACCATAAGAGAAGGTACTTGTGAAACTTGTAGCAAAAAAATGTTCTAAACTAACGTGAGAGTGACCAAGGTGACAGCACTTCCTGGAGCTCTCCCAAAGTGGCTTTATAAATGGATACTTTGTCCTAGATGGTATCTGGACAGTTGTAATATCTCCTCTCTCGTTCGCTCATTCTCTCCCTCCCTCAAGTTCCTGTACCTTGGGACTTAAAAAAAAAATAGTAATTTCAGCACCTTCAGGCCTCAGATCAGCCCCACTTATTGCACTTTCAGAAATGCCGGTATTCTGAAATGCCATAGAGGTGGCGGGGTGGGCCAGGCTTTCTAACTGATAGCAGCGCTGAATTGTTACTGAGCAGGGACCCATTGAAAAAACCTCTGGTCGGTAGCTAGGTAGCTCATTAGCTTATGGTTATGGACAGCTCAAAGATGCACGGTCTCTAATAGGAAGTACTGGGGCAACTCAGGAACAGAAGATGAGTGTCAAACCAAAATGGATGTCAGAGTCCATAAAAAAGTTTAATGTGATAATGAAACAGTCAATGCATTTCAGGGGCAGACAAAACCCCCTTCCTCAGGGCCTGGAAACAATGAGAATGGAGGAATGGACTCAGAGCAAAATAACTCAAAATGTTGATCTTACTGCAGCTATGGGAAGTTCTTCTAAAATTTGCAAATTGCAGATAGGCGTTTCCAACCGATGCTCACCTTCACCTACAATGGATGCTCTTACACCGACATATTTCAAACCGTTGACATCTCTTTTGCCTGCACCAAGCACATAAATCCAATTTGTGGCTTCAGTATTTTCAACTTAGAGCCTTGTATATTAAATTACAGGAGAAAGCCCCGTTACATAGACCACTTACTTGGTTTGAAGCTCTTTGCTGTCAGAAGGAGGGACCAACCCATGTGATCTCCATACTGTATCGCAATATATTGAATGTACGATCTTCTTTAAGGCCTTATTTCATTTCAGTATGGGAGAAAGATCTCCAAATCTCTTTGTCAGATGAGGAGGTGCAAAAATTCTTTATACTAACTCATAAAATATCTATTGCCTCTTCGTATCAACAGAAGGAATATAAGATTTTATCTCGCTGGTATAGATGCCCGACCCTTCTACACAGAATCTTCCCCTTAAAATCACCATTGTGTTGGAGATGTAAGGATGCAGAAGGGACTTATTTCCATATTTGGTGGAAATGTGATCATATAATGCCTTTTTGGAAACATATTTTTGAAGTTTATAACAAGGTGGTTGGCACTTTAGTGGTTCCCTCACCCAAGATAGGCCTCCTTTCAATATTTCCAGGATCGATATTTAGAGTTAAAAACTTAAAAAGGATCTTCTTAGATTCTTTATGGCGGCAGCACGAACATTAATTCCATGATACTGGAACACACAGAGGGCTCCTACTATTAAGGAATGGGTAGTGGAATTAAGCAAGATTAAAAGATATGAGGAGCTAACGGCACATATCAATAAACGATATTCTCAATGGGAAGATATGAGGATTAGGTATATGGAAACAGATGCATACAGAGCTTTGTGATATAAGGAGGAGCATATTCCTTGAAGGGAAATAGGAGTTATCTCAACTAATATGGCAGAATAAAGGAGAAATTCAAGGATTACAGGTTTTTAATTGACTATATGGACCATGGAGACCGGGGATGGGAGAGAGAGAGGATGGGGAGGGGATGAATGGGTGGGGGGAGGGGTTATATAAAGTTATGACATTCACTTTTACAACTCTTTTTCTTGGATAGGTATTGGGAGGAAAGTGTAATGGGTGAGATATAATTGCTTGTTTTACAATTAGAGGGTTAGATGATGTTATTTAGAACATATCTACCCAATATGTGTAAAGATACATGAATTAGGGTTGTGTGGTTATTGATTTATGTATATTGTGAAAAAATGTAGAAAACTAATAAAGTCTTATTATGTTAAAATAAAAAAACTTTTCCTCAAGGACGCTGCGATACCAATTACCGTTATCTTTTTTTTTAGTGTCATGTGACAGTTTTTCTAAACTAATACAGACTAATCATTTTAGGAGTGGTAGAGCGCCAGGGCCCAGTCACTGCTGCAACCAATGCAGCCCCGGTAGCTCTGCCACTGACACCAAGCTGTAGAGGGACTACAAATCCCAGCAATCCATTATACAGCAATGCAGAATACCATCGGATATAGAGGACTACAAATCCCAGCAATCCATTATACAGCAATGCAGAATAATATGGAGCTGCATACTCTGTATTGCTCGCCAGGGCAGTGTCCTAGGAGCCTGTGCAGGTTCTCACTAGGACTGAGTGCAGGTCTCACCAGGGCTGTGCAGTACCACTAGGGC